GGAAGTCACATCATCAAATAGAAAATCAAAAGTTTCAGGTGAAATACTTTGCAAGTCTTTCAAATAGCAGAAGCGTCTACGGTTGTACTCTTACCCCATATCACATCTTCTTCCCGGGAATCCCTTGGGGACAGTTCCCACTGTGGCTCTTATTTCGTTGCATATTTCTGGTCATATCGAGAATTTTGCCAATTTTGCATATGAAAATTGTACGCGGTTAATAGGCGACATGTGTGCAAAATGTCCTCCCAAAGGGGTGTGGGAGCAGGGATACTCCTGGCCAAATCTGGACATTTACATATATGTACGTACGAGCATACATACATATGTACATATGTATGTATGTATATCTGTGCGCGGTGCAAAATTTAATAATAATTCTGCAGTTGGGAAATTGTTTGATAATTTAATTGCTGTCGTCTCGCGTGTGGCCAGGACTTGAATGAAATTAAAGGCCAACGGGCAGGGCAATGCAAATAGGGTGGGATTGGATTGGATTGGATTGGATTAGAGGACTCTCGGCCTAATCAGGCTTCAGCTTGAGAAGCTGTCTAATTAGATGTTTTGAATGCCACAATATCCCGGCAAGTGCCGAGCCAGAGGAACGCCCAGCTCCCAGTGCACTCCGTCTCCGGCTGAAGATGTGCTAATAATCATTTTAATGAAAAGATGCAGATGCCGAGCATTAAAATCCTCGTGGCATAATGATGAGCAAAGTGGCCGAAAGAAGCGAAGCAGAGGTCGAGAATGCGGCCATAAAGCAGGCAACCCGGCAAGCGGGCGAGAGGTCAGTTGGGGATTCCCCCCGAACCAGACTACGGGCCCAGACCCAGGCCCCGTCCAGGGCATACTCCAGCTGCTTAAGCGCTAAACAAGATGAATCTAATAACGGGCCGTGGTCCAGGTCGGGGCTGTCTGCCTCAAGTTCTGAGCGCCGCATTCAGAGCTCCCAATGTCCGCCAGCTGGCGCTCTCTCTCCCTGCGGACTGACCTGCCCCAAGCCGCGGTGGAAGAGCGGTTAGCACTCTCTCTTAAGTCCTGCGCTCTTCCGCTTCGCTCTCTTTCCTTGGCCGGCTCTCAATCAACCCTGTGAGGCTGAGCAGCGGAGGCAGCGATAGCAACAGCAATAGCGTGCAGCGGCAGCGGCAGAGGCTCAAACAAAAGCCGAGCTGAACAGCCACCGATTGCCGAGCGGATGCACTGCAAAATACCGGCTAAATTGAAGCTTTCCGTGTGCTTCCGCTGCTGGCGTCTCTGCCCGGACTCCGTTTTCTCCCTCTGCCACCGTGCCGCGTCCGCTACCAAGTTTTATATTGTAATCTATACTCGGCTGGCTTACAAAAGGTCGACTTCAGGGGGTGGCAGTGCCCAGAACGGCACTGCATCATCCATCTGCACTACGTCAGTTTTGCAGTATTCTCTGATCTCTCCGACAACAGTCTCTCAGTTTTGAGTGGCTTATCCTGTCCCCTAATCTGTGACTAATCCATGTCCTATCCCATTTCAGTCTGATTTACACTTTTCCGATGGAGCTGACTTCCAAAAAGAAGTTTCCCGAGCGACCCTCAAAGGACGCCGATGAAATTCCTTTGTGCGAAACGATGCGAGCCGAACCAGACCCGACAGAGCCAAGCCGAAGCGGACCGAGCCCCAAAGTCCCCAAACGAGACAGACAGCCGATGGGCGCTCTGCTCGCTTCGCTGCTCCGCTGCCGCTGACTTGTTGCGACGCCAGACGTCAAGTGCGCATCTAACGGCATCGGGCCGGCCACGCCACAGTCAGATACAGAGAAACAGACAGACAGAGAAAAAGAGAGACAGAGAGAGAGAGAGAAAGAGAGAGGCAGTGCGACGTTGGCGCCTCGTGCAAGAGTTTACTATGCCAATGCACTCGTTGTCTGGCGCAGTCGGGCCCCGAAGCCCCCGCTTCGCGTCACTGCAGCAGTGCACCGACGCCAGCAGAAACATCAGCAGCAGCAGCAGCGCGCTCTCTCTCTCTCTCGCACATTGTTTTGGGGGGCCCCCACCTTCACCTTCGTCACTGCCAGTGCCCGCGCTGACTGCGGCGGAGTTTCGGCAGAGACTGCGGCACTGCACACAGCAGTTCTCGTTGGGCAAGTCCCCGCGAAGCTGGCATTCAGTTGAAACACCACATCCGCCAGTAGAGGTTGCCCAGCGGCGGCGAGCCACTGTCCACTGTCCAGAGTTCCACACACAGCGTTCTCATACAGAGATTTGCCAAAGAGTTCCCACAGTTTCCCAATGCATCCTCGAGAAGAGGCCCGGCAGTCGAGCTCCGACGATGGGGCAAGACAGTCGACCCAAGCTGTGCCCCATCTGGGTGCATATCATGTTGCGCATCCGCACTGTTTTCAAGACAAAAACCAACACGACTCCGACTCTGTGCCCCCAGTGAGCAAAAGCCAAACGAAAGTCGATTAAGTGATCAGTCAGTCAGCGGATTGCGATGCCACACAGCAGCTGCATCCACCACAGACCCTGCCACCAACAGTACTGCGATCTCTATCTGTATTTATATATATGTATAACTCTGTGTGTTTGTGTGTGTGTGTGTGTGTAGTTCTCATATGGTAATCGCGTAACTCGACTCCACTCAACTCGACGCGGCCATAATCAATTCGCAGTAATCCATTTACATTTCACGTCGCGTCGCCTCCAATAAACATCAACGAGACACTCAACCAGCAAACACACACACAGTGCAACGGACAGAGCCGTGAACAGACACAGAGAGAGAGACAGAGACAGAGAGTAAGAACTCAGAAAGAGACAGGGAGAGATAGACAGAGAGAGAGCGAATGAAAAATTAAATATTACGTACAAGTGTTGAAAATTCCCCGAGCCATGGAATGACAGGTGAGTGAGCAGATACAGATGCAACATTTGGTATAATTAAGTGATAAAAGTGCTGATGGAATGTGAGAGAGATGGAAGTGGAGTGCCTTAGTGGGGGGGCCTTTGGTGAGAATGGAAGGGTATCCGATTAGTGTTTGCAGAGTTACAAGGGATTGATTCCCTCCGTTTCCCAATCCTATCCACAAAGCATTACCAAAGCAATTTTCTGTATGCCACAAACGAGTTATAATCCATCCATCCAAGCGAACCGATTCATCAGCAGATTCCTTTCAGTTCCTCCCAACCAATAGCAATATATTTTTGGCCCAATGCAAATTCCGTTTCGCTCTTTTCACTGGCTCGACGATGGTCAATAGCCTTGCCAATAGCTTTCTGCCTAATCATGCGTCCCAGCATCCCCCCACTCACCACTCGCTTCCGCGAGCGAAGCGCTTTGTGTACGGCTCACGATAAATGATGTTAAATAGTCCGTGGCCGAGATGAATTTGCAGTTTGCTAGGCGGGCTAGAAGAAACTAATTTCGCCTCGATTCAGTTCCACACGTGTGCGGCGTGAGGTGCGCTGGAACCGGGTAGCGGACCCCTAATAGGGGTATCTTATCAGCGAAGGGGAACCGTGCCGCTCTTATCAGCTGCTCGAAGGTGACAATTTCATTTGGCGGGCACTTGGTGCATCCATCCCGTCCCTCTCTGGCGCTCTCCGCGCTGATAAGCAAATTAGCCTGCAAACGGGGCTATAATTAAGTTTGTTCTGGACCCCCCAAAGAGAGGGAGAGAGTGCGAGAAAGAGTGGAAGGGGAGAGGGTAAGGTCTAATGGTTAGGGGTGAGAGCAGAGATAGCATCGGATTGGGGGCGTTAACCAACTTCTAAAGCTGTGAGCCGCTGCTTCAGCGGTCTATTTTTTCGGTCTTTTGGCCTTTTGGCCACAGGCGGTTCTCACATTTGTTATGGCTAGAACAGGCCAGGCCGAACTGAGCAGTGGCTGAGGCAGAGGGGAGCAGAGAAAGACAGAGAAATCATAATAAAGAAAAGTGGCCGCAAAGAGTGCTTAAAGAATGGAAATAGATGAGTGCTAACTGTAGAAGGGGCGGACGGAGAGCGACCAGGTAAAGCTGGCATTAGGACGGGGGGCGGCGGGTACGAGAGGAGAGTAGAAAGAATTTCTACTTATAACGAGTTTTTATTACAAACGCGCGAAAGCGGAGAGACCCCCGAAAAGCTGCCGAAAATGTATTAAAAAAAGGGGAAAAAGATGGGGAAAAAACCCTGGTAAAAATAAGTAAAATGGGCAAAGCGAGCGGGCTAACTGAATTCCTTCTTAGCCATGAACACGAAGAGACCGGTGGGGCAAGGGGTTGCACATAAAAAGTAACAGCATTTTTGCCTAGGCAGACGATGACAGAGAGGGAGTCAGAGAGTGAGCGGGGGTCGATGGAGAGAGGACGACAGATGAAGACCAAGACTGCGAAAGCATGAAGCAACATTATTCAAAAGAAAGCCAAGTTAAGGCATGCCACAGAAAGAGAGAGAAAGAGAGAGGAACACACACACACTAACACAACTGTACATGAAGCGACAGATACATGGCAGCATAATGCAGCAGCAGCAGAACCAGAGAGGGAAGGGGAGTGCAAAGTGGGAGTTGGGTGGCGGTAGGCAGATCGGGCCCAAGCATTAAACATCACTCAGCAGCAGCGACGGCGGCAGAGGCAGCACAACCGGCAGCAGCTGCGGCAGCAGCAACTGCTGCGCCGGCAGAGTCGCTAGCAGCAGTAGCAGCAACAACAACAATCACATGCCGACATTCTTTCATTCGTACAACGACCTCGACTTTGATTTGCAGTTTTTAGCCAAGCAGCGGGCCAAAGAATGTGCCCAGCCAGCGAAGAGAGCCGGCCCCAAAAAAGGAAGAGCGCCACAACGGCCTCTAGACGACCTACACACGCCTGAGCAGTAGCGGCAGAGAGTGGGATACAAAGAGAGCGAGAGAGAGAGACCGAGAGAGAGAGCGAAAACGAAAACGCTGCTTCGCCGTCGTGTCGTCGGACTGCAGTCGTCGTCGTCGTATCTTACGCTGCGGCTATTTAGCGCTGCCAACTCCATTCATTCGTTTATTCAGTCTTGTCTGTGCCGGTTGGCTCTTTTGGTATCTACGCTCCGTCTCCAGCCTGGACAGCCACTGCCACTGCCGTCTCTTCACCACTCTCCACTCTCTACTATACACGCTCACACCCAAAGCAGACAACAGACGCACAGCCAGCCGCCAGTCAGTGCAAATGTTAAACAAAGACAACACAAAACGAAAGAAAAAACAGTAACAGTGCAAAAGAAAAGTGCGAAAAGTGAACATTAAATCGAGTCGAAAATAAAACAACAACACACAGCCCAGCCAGACAATGCGTCATTCGCTCATTCACTCAATCAGAAATAAAAGCTCTGCTATCGCAGTTCAGACACACTCACACATGCATGCAGTTGAACAGTTACAATTACAAAGTGCGAATCGGCTGGCCAGACATCTCACCTCACACACACACGCAGAGATAGCAGCGGCAGACATCAGCGGCAGAGGCTGACTGCAGACTACAGTTATCAGAATGCGAGCCCCAGACTGAGACTCAGACGCCGCTGCCGGCGCTACACTGCCGTCGCCTGGCACCGTCTGGAATTTGTATTTCCCCATATGCACACACACACACAATACACAACTGAGAGAAGCAGTGGCAGCCACGGCTAACCGGATGTGGCACACACTCTGGACCACGGCACAGGCACGAGCAGCCATCTTTGTCATCTTTCGAATCTCAGCCTTGGCTAAGGTTGCTCCTGTCCTCCCATCGGGCAGCACAAGCAGCAACAGAGTGAGACAGAGACAGAGTAACACAGAGAGAGAGAGAGCTAAGAGCTAAGAGGTACCGTGAAGTCATAAATTTATAACAAACGCTAGACTCCACTCCACTACACTCCGTCCCGAGTGGACCGACTGACTGGTTTGGCGTGTTGGCCAGGCCAAAATGGATTTTTTACGGCCCCGAATAAACAACAACAGAATCGAGAGCTTAAAAAAGCCGCAACTGAAGTTCACAGAAACAGCAGAAGTCGAATTTCTGAATGATCTCTGGGGCTCGTTTCGGAAACAAATGAAAAAGAAACTCACACTCTGAAAGAGAATCCGGTAAGCCATTTCCAATATAGCTGTAATCACATCATATAGCGATTCAGACGGTAATTGGGGGTGTAATCATTAATTTCTCACGGTTCATTTATACCATGTATGTATGTGTTGATATTTTGTCCAAAATTAGACAAGAGAAATTATAGATTGATTATACATATATCAAACTAAGTACGGTTCAACAATATTTAAGTGTTATATGGTTGAATAAATGTTATAAATCTGATTTATTACTGTAAGAGATTGGTAACAGAGTTTGACAACTCATTTAACTGTAATTCCCACAATCGGCAACATCTATCATTAGAAGTGCACAAAGAAAACTTTCAAATTGCCAAGCACCACCTTCTCAGATATCATTCAATCTTGAGGGTTACACTTTACCCCGAATTCCTTCCACTATGCCATCCCATTGCCATTACATTGCATGTCCCGCTAGTTATAGTAAGGGGCTGTGTGTTTGGGTGGGGACACGCCCCCCAGGAGCGTGCTAATGAAACATTTAATTAAAGCATTAAACATCAAAAGCGACAACGAGGGAACATAATGAAACGGCCTTTCTGCCTGTCTGTCTGTACGCCTGTCGGTCGGTCCGTGTGGGGGAGGAAGTGTGAGTGTGTGTGTGTGTGCGTGTGTGTGGGGAAAGGTGTATGAGCACCTGAACAGAGTTGCCAGAGCTAACGGAACTAAAAGCCGCCCGATCAGCGAGGTGGCTGCCAAATAACAAAAGGAAAATGCCACCCGACCCCTCCTGATGGCCCCCTTTCCCTTGGCTAATGCCGTCGACAATTGCCGTAAAAGTTTATCGCCCGCATTAAAAAACCATGGATTAAAATTTTACTTCAAATAAAAGTCGAGCAAACACTCGCACGAGAGGAAAAAATATTCTCATCTACATTTCGCCATTTTTTCTACTATTCCGCCCCTCCAGCTCTCCTCTTTCATTCTTTCTTATTTCGGTTTCAGTTTTTCTTTTTTTTCTGGTGTTCCGTGCCCACATTTTCCTACTTGCCAGCTCTTTTTGGCATTTTTCGTTTCTTTTTTTTTGTAATAAAGATAAGAGGTCTAGTTGGAGCTGCCACCTGCATTGCCTATTTCTTCCTCCTCCTCTCTTCCTCCCTAGCAACCTCCCTCCACCACTCCCCCGCGCTCGCAACCACCCTCTTCTGCTCACACTCTCTTGCCAAAGTGTTTGGCTAACAAATGTTGTCCACTAATTGCAGGCGAAAAACATTTTCTCGGGCAACGAATTAAGTGATGTAAATTTTTGGGCTCTAAATGGTGCAACGATTCTGCAAAGGGCAGGAAGGAAGAGAAGAGTCGAGTGGAGTCGGTGGTGTGGGTGGAGTGGGGACTATTTTCGGTAGGGTAGTGGGCGTGACACGATGGGCAAAAAGTCAGACAGACATGCAGACAATTTCATATAAAATGCATGAGCATGAAACCAATTCAATAGCCAAAAAACACTCGCAAACACACACGTTGGGGCAATGGCGGAGCATGTTAACTGTCTGTCGAGCAAACTGCCATCGCACTGAAACTCTGAGTTGTCCTAGTTGTAGCCGCTGATGTTCCAGTACTTGTTTGAGCTGGCCAAAAAACGAGTAACGGAATGGATGAAGGAGACAGAAGATGTGTGGCATAAGCGGCAGGAGGGTGAGGGGCAGTGGAAGTGAAAACCAAATTACATTGAGCCACCGACTGAACTGAACGGAACGGAAACGATAGCGATGCTAACTTATAGATACAATATACCCGGACGATGAAACGAATTTGAAACAGACGAAAATTTGCACACAAAAAAATTAAAAGGAAAAGAGAAGACGTAACGAAAGAAGGAGGGGAGAAGTAACGGTATAAAAAGATATAAAGGGAGAGCCAGAATCAAATGGCAGCGACAAAGTTTTCAAATTAATTTATTGATACTGCGATAAGAGTTCGGATAGGGAGGGGCGAAAGAGAAAGAGATAAAAGTGTGAGAGATAAACGTTTTATGGCAGGGCCATCATCAACGATGAGGAGTGTCTGTAGAGGGGCATGGGCAGGGGCAGAGGCAGGATGTAGTAGCAGAGAGAGGATCCGGCCAGGAGCCGGTTTAATCAAATGTATTGAAAATGTTTCGATTTGGCAAAGTTTTAGAGTCCGAATAGGACATCAAATGATTTCTGATGAAGGACAGAGGAGGACTCTGTAAAGAGAGTAGGGTGGGTCAGTGTCTGGCATTGCTTATACGCTGTGTTTCCTTCACTTTTTGGGTACTCGGGTGGGTATCTTCTCATTAAAAGCGAATAAAAAAGGTAAAGCATGTGACGCAGAAGGAGAAACTCTGGCGAAAAAAGAGAACAACAGACAAATCAACATGCGCCGTACCTTCAACATCAGCATCATCCGATTCCAGTGAACAGAAATACAATACATAAAGATGAGACATTTATTTATAAGAAGACCTGGGGACCTGGTACCGGGACCGGTGAATTTGTAGCCTAACAACAACGGAATATGCACATAAAAAGCATCTTCATCAGCATCCGCTTCCCCCCGCCGGAGGGATACTTGTTCAATAACCGATAACATACCCGTGTACAATAGCTTTTGCTATATAGATTCTGATTTTGAGTCTCATTCTGCTGACTTTGACTTTGCACATCTCGCGACGCTGTTGCTGTATTTTATTCGCTTCGTAGTTTTGCTGATACGAGACTTTAAGCGCAAAAAATGCAAATTTCATTTCGCTCTTTGGCCGTGCCTGCTCCCCTCTGGCACACCCACTCGTCTACCTCTCCGCTGCTGTGCATTTGGAATTGTTTTGTTTTCCTGTTGTTTTATTTGTAAATATTTTTCTTTCTATTTGTTTTAAAACGCCGCTTCCCGATTTATTTATTGTGCCATTCATGTTTCTCTATCTCTGCGAGTCCGTCTCTCTCTTTCTCTCTCTCTCCCGCTCTTTCTGTGATGCCCTCTGTAGCTTTGTGCAGTTTTATTTTGTGTAATGGCTGCGATATTTATGGCCAGCAAGTCCTTCCTCCTTCCTCGGTCCACGGTCCAATCGGAACAACTGCTGCAATTTATGGCCCTGCCCAAGCTTGGATTTGGCTTCCGTTTCCCTGGGCTAATAAAATATTGAAATATATAACAATTTGCATGATTTTTGGTTCAAGTTTTGGCGAACTGAATAAATATACAATTCCATTCCATTCCGCTGCGATCCATGGCAATTGCTTTGCTTTGCAGTGCAATTTGTGTCGATGTTTCCACAGAATTTGATTGCAAGAACTAAATTGACATCAAGGATGCTCGTCGGATGAAATGGACTCGGATTCGAGCAAGGACATCAGATGATTCCACCATTAACATTCTGAGCTCAGCTCTGCTTTTGTCCCCTCGACAGTCGTTGAATCCAAATTGTCCACTTGCATGCCTTGCCCACTCAATCCCAATAGTCTCAAGCTCCCCCTCTGATCCCCTCGCAGCCCGGGTACGTCCGCCGGGAGTGGGAGCCCAACATGCTCTGGCCATAAACAAAGAGTTGCAAATGTTTAGCCTGAATAATTGCCGGCTATTTCCATGCATATTACGTCAACGCATCGGACAGCAGACAGCGGACAGCGTACGCAGATGTGCCGCAGAGTACGGGATGGGACGATAGAGCCACATGTTTTCCGTTTTGCGAATTCGGGCTATACATAAAACTAGCTATAAACAAATAAAGATTTCGCGATACACAGCTCACAATATAGTGAGGAGGGAGAGAGAGAGAGAGAGTGGAAGTGGATAGTGGAAGAAAGCGGAGAGCGAATGCAAATCAGTGGCACCACAGGGTAACCTGGAGCCATCTGCAAGGTGTGTGTTTGCAACAATATGGCAACGCTATCCACTCCGTCATCGTTGTCAAGTGTCGCTCTGTGTCGTTTCGGTGGGGGGTCGGCGTGGCTTTTAATATGCAGCGGGCTGTCAAGCAGATTATGGCTCATAACGACAACACCTGTCGCTCGTAGCTGTTGTTGCCACTCGGCGTCAGGGGCTGATAACACGCAGAGATTATGGCGCTCAACAATCTGTTGCTTGGCAGCGGATCCTTTCATCCTCTGCCCACGCTCCTGCTGCTCCCACAGCCAGCTGCGCCGTCTTTGGCTGCCTCGCATTTAATGTGCTCACATAAATTTTGGGGCAAATCAAAAACGCGTTTTATGGCTTGCCATCGTCAATGTTGCTGCTGTTGCTGCCAGTGCCACGCTGTCACGCTGCCACACTTCTCTGCCGCTATTGGGCCCTGACTTTGTCCGAGAGCTAACAAAATTTATTGCATTTTACAAGCATATTACAAACGCTCAGCTCTCACGTACAGCTCCCTTCTCTCTCGTGCCCCTTCTCCCTCTCTGTCCTGCTGCTGGTTCTTCAATTCCCAGCAGCCACATAAAAGCGCGTCATGTCCGTTCCGTGTCTGTCCGCAGAGTCCGCTCTTCTGGTGGCTGCTGCTGGTCCTGCCAAATTGATGTAGACTCTGCGGCGCCAACAAGAGTCAAGGAACAGGAGAAGCATAAGAGGAGCAGGAGCCGGAGAAGGAGCAGAAGCCAGTCAAGATTGATGGCCCGTTGAATTGCTTGCTCTGCTGCCGCTGCTGCTGCTTCCCCATCTATTCCCCTGACTGCCTTCAGCTTCTGTCTCAGCATATGAATTACTCATTGCTCATTTTTCCAGCAATTTATTGTCATTTTTGCTGTTGCAGTTCTTGTGAATCTGCTGCTGCCATTGCTGCTGCTCCTATCGCCATTGCAATTTTTCTGGCGCATTCTTTATGGCAAGATGTTTTTCGTGCAAGATTTTTCATGTCGTCGCGGATCTCTGGTCTCGCGGGTTATTCAGTTAGAGTAAGAGTGTCGAGTGGGCTGCGGTGAGTCTGGTGCGGACTGCAGGCTGCAGTGAGAGAGTGAACGAGTGTGGCCGGGCATATTTTGTCGATATTTACTTAAAAACCCACAGAGGACACGGCTCCTGTTGAG